AAAAGGAACTTGGACTTCACTAAAGTAAAAAACTTCTGCTCTGTGAAAGACACTGATAAGAAACTGAATAGACAAGCCAAGCACTGGGAGAAAATATGTTGTTTGCAAAACACATTTATGACAAAGGACTTATATCCAAAATATTTAAATTATACGAAGAATGCTTAAAACTCAACAGTAAGAAAACCAGCGACTCATGTATAAAATGAACAAAAGACTAAAGTAACAGGTGGCAAATAGGCATATGAAAAAATTCTCAACACCGTATGTTGTTGGGGACTTGCAAATTAAAACAATAAGATCCCAACACACATGGAGTCCTGGTGTGGTGCTGTAAGATCAGCACTGGACTGTTAACTGCAAGGATGGCAATTCAAACCCAGAAACCCTATACAACAGCACCACTATGTGTTGGAACTGACTAGACAGGCATTTGACAACAACACACACCTATAGATGAGCCAGTTCCCACAGAGTTGATGTCTACTCCTGGTGACCCCCATGTGTGTCCGGGTTTCAATGGCTCATTTTTCTGAAGGAGATCGCCACATCTTTCTGCTGTGGTACTTTGAGGTCTAGTCAGAGAAGGAAAATTTAAAACAACGACAACATGGAATTCAGACATGGATGTAAGCCTGTGTTTGGTTTTGCAGGTTGTTGCAAAACCAAACACAGGCTTACCATAGGATCCAACAGTCCCACTTCTATGTATTTACCCATGAGATGAAAAAACATGTATAGATAAATGTCTGCACACAAATGTCCACAGAAGTCTTATTCATTTAATTTTCCTAAATCAAAAGGAACCAAGATGTCCTTCAATAGATGAATGGATAAACAAACTGTGATACAGCCATACAATGGAGTATTATTAATTTTAAAAGGCAGAGTCAAGCTGGAACCTTAAAGATGCATTCTAAGTGAACGAACCCAGCATGACTCCTACTATTGGAGACAAAACCAAGAGACAGTACAAAGATGAGTGGTTGCCAGAGTCCAGACGGGGGCTAGGATGAACAGATAAGAGTACACAGCCCTTTTAAGGCAGGATGGTGCAACACAAAGAGTGAATATTCTAATGCAAACTACTGAGTTGAATTAATGCATCAAGTGTGGTGAATCAATGATAACAAATGGACCACGGGAATATAAGGTATTAGTAACAGCATAAATAGCAGACAGGGGGAGGAGGCAAACTCTGTACTTGTTATGCATTTTTTCCTATAAATCTGAAACTGCTTAAACAATAAAAGACCATTAAAAATGAATAGCAGTATATCATTAAACTTACAAAGGAGAAGAAAACAATTCAGAGATTAAAATGGGAACACCTTTTGGATAAAGAAAACAAGACTGAGTACCAGCTTGAAGAATATAATCAACATCACTAAATTGTACATGTAGAAACTCATGAATTGGTGAATGTTCTGCTGTGTATATTTGCAACCACAACAAAAAATAAAATGAATTTAGAAATTAAATACTTAACGCCTTTGTAGTCATCTAGAACCTAATCTACCTGTCCAGATAACACTGTTTTCCAAAGGCCCTTACAAATTTGACTGGAGACTTTTTCATAGACTTCTATTGCCTAAAAATGTTATTCTCCTGCTAGCAAACTGTTTTTCCATGCTTCAAGACCTTGCTCAAATGTTGATTCTTCATGAACATTCTAGTGTTCAGAGAATTTGCTGCATCTCTATTGGGTTCCCCAAATACTTTGCTCTTCTCTATCTTTCAGTAACTACCATTTTGTATTAATTTATCTGTTGCTAGGTCCATCTACTAACTTAACTATGACAGTCAGCTTTATACAGAAAAAACAAAGCAAGGAGGCAAACAGAAGCTGCTCTGTAAATAACTGGTGAATAAATGAATGCTGGAAACCAGGATTGGCTCTGGAGAATGAGATGTTTTAAAATAAAGTACTAACTTAAGAGTCTTAGAGCCATTAAGGACAAAAAACACACCTAATTTAAAAGCGGTTTCTCTTTTCAAAGTTCACCGTCTTTCTGTGGAGGATGAATTGTTTAATAAAAGCTGTATTGCAGTTCCTGGGTCACCTTCTCCACTAATCAAGAAGTTGACACCTGAAACCCATCTAGACGGACCTCTGAAGACAGACCTGGGAAGCTGCTTCCCTAAGGTCCCGTAAAACCCGATGGAACAGCTCTACTCTGTACACACAAGGTCACCATGAGGCAGGATGAGTTCCAGGACACCCCACCACAAAACACAGGAATCAGTTTTGGGATAACTGGAGATAGCTGAATATGAGGATGGAGTGTGATAATGGCAGTGTGGATATTCAGGAATGGCAATCCTGATGTTTATTTTCAAATGATTTTAAAAAAGAGGATTGTTTGTCTAAGTGTGTGTATTAGATACATATGTGCACGGATACACACACATATAAAACACCCACTGCCTCTAAGTCGAGTGCCCGTAGAGGAGAGAGTGAACTGCCCCATTGCCCCATCAGGTTTCCAAGGCTGCGCATTTTACGGCAGCAGATTACATTGTCTTTTTCCTCTGGGCCACCAACTTTCTGGTTAGCAGCTTTTATGTAGCAACAAACTTCACCTTTCTCCCAGAGAACAGCTGATGGGTTTGCACTGCCTACTTTGCATTTAGCAGTTCAGTGATTATCCTGCAGGGCCACCAGAGCTCACAATGCAAATTGACCTTGCAGTCCAGTGCTTATCCTAAATATATAGGATGGGATTTCAAAAAGTTCATGGAAAAAACCCCATTATTTTTCAATTCCATTTTCCCACAAACTTTTTGAAGCCCCTTTGTGTGTATGTACACACACACACACACACACACACACACAAATGATTAAGTGAAAGTGGCAAAGCATTAGCAATGAATCAATCAAGGTGAATAAAGTGTGAGGAAGAAAAAGCTGTAGGGGAAAATTAAACTCAGGAATGGGATAAGCCTTCTGTGCGTGTGTGTGTTTTCAGAGCCCACCTGTCGGAAGGCTACTTCTGCTTCCGTAGCTCCCCGGAGTGCAGAAGCAGAGATCAGGCAACCCTGGGACTCCCAGGTTCTATGTATCAGTTCTAAATCTCTCCAGTGTAGTTCTAAAATGAGCATTCCTAATATTCACTCAGTTATAAATTCACTTTTAAATTCATGAATATCATTTCATAGTTTGTCAGTCTCACCCTCAAACTGACTTCCATTTTGCAAATCCTATTTCTGTGCATTCTGCCACCAGCAGTTCCTCATTTTAGTTTCTGAAATCGGCTTCGATTCTCCAACAGTAACACTCATCTCTGTGACAAATTCCGAGGGGACCCAAGAAGGGGTGGAAGGCAGGTAGGGTTCATCAAGGGTTAAGGGCCTTTTGCTTCAGGGAAATTCCCACTGTCATTTCTTAAAGAGTACCTTTATGAGATAACGTGCTATTGTTAAGTGCCATTGATGAGTCTTTCCGACTCACAGTGACCCTCTGCAAAACGGAAGGAAGCACGGACTCTGTCCTGCACCATCCTCACAACTGTGGCCACACATTCTCATGACGAAATGCTCTTTTAAAACCATTTTACCTACAATTACTGGACACTAAATTTTGGTCTGTTATTTTTCTAAAGACCAAACATACCCAAATCTTACTAATGCTCATGTAATGGAATTGTGCAAATTTTTTTTAAACGTATTTTTCCAGATAAACTGTTTAACATGATTATATTAATTTTACCATATAAAAAACCCATGCCTCACAAAAATCATACCAAAGTGGAGGGAAAAAAAGGAAGTCACTTAAAGACCATATTCACTCATGTACCCAAGTCAGGACTGAAAGGGCAATGGGAAGCCCTCTAGAACATCTTCCCAGTTCAGTCTAAGGTCCCACGTACACAAAAAACTCTTCCCGATAATTAACGCCACTCCCCCTGCTCCCTTTATTCCCACTAATTTATAATCTGAACAACTGAGCCAGAAACTGGTTATGATTACTGTCTCACTTGTCTCCCATCTCTATGCTGGAGAGCATGTATCAGCTTCTCCTCTGACATCCAATTTGGTCTTTACCTTCTTTCTTGTCTTCTTAATGACCTTCTATTTTCTTCCTGTAGATGTTTTTGATGTCATCCCACAACTCTTCTGGTCTTTGGTCATTAATGACTAATTTACCAAATCTGCTCTTGAGATGATCTCTAAGTTTAGATGGGTTATGTTCAAGGTCATACTTTGGCTCTCATGGACCTGTTTTACTTTTCTTCAGCTTTAGCCTGAACTTGCATATATATGTTCCACAGTCTGCCCCCGGCCTTGTTTTGGCTGACGATATGGAACTACCCCACTGTTTCGTCCTACAGGTGAAGTCAATTTGATTCCTATGTATTCCATCTGGTGAGGACCATGTGTATAGTCATCTTTTATGATGGTCTTGCAAAATTGTAAATAGCGATCTCCAACTTCGTTTCTATCACCAAGGCCGTATTTTCCAACTAATGATCTGTCCTCTTTGTTTCCAACCTTTGCATTCCAATTTCCAGTAATGATCAATACATCTTGATTGCGTGTTTGATCAATTTCAGACTACAGAAGTTGGTAGAATTCTCCAATTTTATCATCACTAGCTTTAGTGGTTGGAGCATAAATTGAATAATTCTAGATCGAATATGTCATTTAAAAAATTACAGAAGAGATAAGATTTATTCTTAACCTCCATTTAAAAATAATAATAATACTTTATAGGTTCATTTGATAGTTCTTTCAACATTTAAGAATACGCTCACATAAAGTAATATTTTTGTTTCCTCAACCACTTTGTGGGGGGTAAAGTGACTGAGTTTATCATTAACAAATGATAACGGTATCATTATCCTTAAAGTGACCCCGGTGGTCACTTTAAAGGCGAGTGTGGATAACTTTCATATATCGAAAAAAAGAAATAAAAAGTTACTTCCATTATCAGAAATGTGTAATAAAGTGAACTAATTTAAATAATAAATAAAATAATGCTAATGATGGTGTTATCTCACCAGAATTCATAAGTTTCCAAAGTTGATCTACCAGGGCTTCACTGCATAAGGGAGACTCCATGTTCTTAGTAAAAGGTGGATTCTTAGTCAACATGTTTAGAATCTTATGCCTGAAAAGTTAAAATATATATGTATATAAATTAATTTTTGCTACCTATAAAATAAAATATTTGAAAATTATTATTTACATCTCCTCCTTTGTATTGTACCGCCTATCCTCTTAGGTCTAGCTTTGTGTTTTGTTTAGTTTCTAAAGACACTCTATTACATTTTAAATATTTACTGCTTTTCATTGAAACATTCTGGCAGGCTTACTCTGTAAAATCTCCTTAGTAAGCAATGAAGTCCTCTAAACCGACCTCTGTAATCCTAACCAATGTTTTCCTTCCCACTTCCCAAAACGAAGATTCTACTGTCTAGAAAAACTGACATAAAAGACTGGTTACTGTCGTTGTTAAGTGCCATCCAGCAGGTTGTGACTCACAGCAACGCTGCCAACCTTGCAGTTAGTAATCCAGTTACAGTATATGTTACAGCACCACAATCTTACATGGGGCAAAACAGGGACCAAGAAGAAGGCTTACATACTGAGCAAGAAGAAGGCTACCCTTGAGATAATAAACTGAACATAACCGTCATCACTGTAGTATCATTATAAAGCATAGCAACGTAGAGAGCATTATAAGTACGAGATGGATAAAAGGTTTCCTCAGAATGGCTGTGCTTGAGAGGCTGATAAAGAAAAGTATCCCCATTGAGAGTAACTGTTAAACGCTGTCATCTAAACTTAATCTCTTCAAAGAAGCTACCTGAACACATACAGTCTTGTGAAAATAATAGGGCCAAGTGATCAAAATAAGACCTGAAAAACTAGACATTTACTACTATGATAAGATACACCATATGAGGAGGGTAAAGAGGAAAGGAGAAGGCAGTGATGGCATTTAGTGAGGGAGGTAAGCTTTATTAACAATGTATGTTATTAACAATTTACGTTATTAACAATGTATGCTAAAAATGTCCTTCGAAAGGGAAATCAAACAAAAAAGAACATAAATAAATACATATTTTCTACTGAAAATATTCACTTCATTTGTTGTTGTGGTTAAGTGGCGGCAAGTCAATTCCGACCCATAGTGACCCTATATAGGGTTTCCAAGAGTAGCTGGTTAACTTGACCCATAGACCTTGCAGTTCAAATGGCTTTGCAGTCTGGCGCATTAACCCACAGCGCCACACCAGGACTCACTTCACTTTACAACTTACAAAACTAAAATGTTATACCACAAAGACTAACCTTACATATGGTACAGGGTCAGTCTGAATCATATTAAGCAGCCATTGTAGCTCTTCGTAACTCCTGTCCACTGAAAATAAGGAAACGTATTTGCTGTTAATTACAACAAATTCAATAAAAGTAAGAACAGGCAATTTAGGAATCTATATATTTCATTATTTAGGACTCTGCCTTGGTTAGATTTTCAATCAGAGTTGATGGCTAACAGGCAAGTGTCTATATTTCTCACACAATGGATCACTGCAAATTTTATAAGCTGTGCGCATACACGTATGCAGACTAGACATAAAAAGACCTAGTACATGCTTTTCACTACCGTTCAAATCAATGGCAAACAACAGAAATCAAATTAGAATTTATAATAGATTATTAAGGACCCTAGAGTAGCAAAGAATAACTAGATAAAATGTGTTTAAATAGAAGCATGATTCTAGATATTCAGATCAAATTATAGGCAGGCTTAATACACTATGGCATCTCAACACTATTGTACTATTTTTCCCCCATATGGTTTAGTCTATTTAAGACTGGATAGCAGTCTTAACTTTCCAACGTAACATAAAAGGCAGTCAAAAAAGCAGTGTGAGGATTATACATGACATAAAAAAAAAAAAGGGAATCCATTAACTTATCATGCACCTTCTTTTCAACAAATTTTGTTGCCATGAATTTTAAAGGTTTTCCTTTACACTCAAAATTTTACTTCTAAAATTTGCCATCTGTTCTATTTTGTCATCGGAGCACCGATACATAATGTTTTTGCTAGGTGCCGTCGAGTCAGTACCAACTCCAAACAACCTGATGCTCAACAGAATGAAACAACATTACCAGCTCCTGCACCAATCTCATGGTCCTGGCTACACTGGAACCCACTGTTGTTGCCACTGTGCCAATCCAGCTTGTTTTGTGTGTGTGTG